CTTCCCGCGGGCTTGCTCGCTTGTGCAAACATCCCCGAGCGCCCTGTTCAGACAACGGGTTTTCTGGGGAGAAAAGGCTTTTTTCCCCCCCTTTTCTTTCTTTTATTTTTTATTTTTAAATTAAAATAACAAAGTCAAAGGTCAGTAGAAGGGTTGCAGACCTGGGAATGTTTCTTGAAAGGGCTCAATCAAAACAAACTCCTTAATTATGCAGTAAATTATAACAAATCTCCTTAGCACGGGGTTTTATAAGGCAGATTTAGGAACTCGCTGGCTGGTAGCAAGGGAGGTCTGAGTGCCTTTTCACCGAGATGGCAGCACCCCAACTCTGCTGCTAAAGGTGCAGGCGAAGCTTTAGGGCTGGAAGCGGATGAATTGGTTCAGTGCCTGGTACCTCGGCTTCACGGGGCCTTGAATATTTGCTGATTTCTGCTTTGGAGCTGTTTTATTCTGACCGAGGAGGGTCAGCATAAGGGCACTCTGCAGCAGGGATTTCCTCCTTGCAGCAGGCTTACACCGCACCACCTCTTCCACTGTACGCCCTTAATTTTTTCCCCAAAACCACAATTTTTAAACCAAATGCCAGAAGGCATATGATTTTTGTTAGATTTACCTTGCAATGGAGGGCAATAAAGGAAACTGAGACCATTTGGAAATCACCCCCCACCTGGAATCTGGGCATTTCTTGGATGAGTTACCAACTGGCCCCCCGAGGCGGCGGCCGCATCCGGACCAGGCAGCACAGGATCGACCTCTCCATCGACCGGGCAGGGTGCTGTGTGCCGGGGCAGGGCCCCGCGCCGGGCACCTGCTAAGGCATCACCACTGCTCAGCTGCGAACGCTGTTACTAAACTTGGCACCGCAGCTGCCTACAACTTCAGCAGATGTTTCTAATTTTTAGCACAGTGGAAATTTCTTGAATCACTTTTAAACTCAATTCCCAGGGAGGAAACCTCGGGTGACTCATCCCTCGATGAAGCCATTGGCTCCGCAGCAGATATTATCTGACAGAGGAGCCCGCCGAACCGTCCAGCTCACTTGTCTCCTCGCTCCCGTGTGCCAAAGCAGTCGTCCTGTGCGGATCAAGTGTCCTAAATACCGAAAGGGAGAGATTTGACCCACCCTTCCCCTCCTTCTCACCCCCATTCCCGGTGCCGGGAGGGCTGTTGTTAGGGAAGGGAGCACTCGCACAGCGGGGTGAGTCAGCGGCGGAGATGGACCAGGAGTGATGTTCCAGCACCTCACCTACCCTTGCAGCTCTGCGTCGCATGAGCTCACCCTCAGCTTGTGGCTTGCTGCTGGCCCCAGGCAACGATTCGGCTCCCTTAGAAGTCCCTGCCACGAGCTGAGCTGTGAGCACCGAGGGCGATGGGTGTCTGATGGGTGTCTTGTCGGCATGGGGCAGCGGTGGGTGACACAGAGCACCTGGGACCGTCCCAGCTCTGAAATAGTCTGCCTTGCTCTGCTGGAAGCCCCCCACACCTCCATGATCTCTTTCTTGCAGTAGCATTGGTCTGGTGAGGTAAATTTCGGGGGGGGTCCTGCGTTCAGGGCCAGGAAGACACAAGAGAGATGCTGGAGTTTCCCGGTGCCCTGTTGCTGTCACCCCACCCTTCAGCAAGGAAGACTCAGAGTCCAGGGGCTAAATGGTGTCTCTAAATGTGTGCACGGGTGGGACATGGTCTCTTCTGGGGAGGGAGCGGGTCTCACAGAGCAGGTTTTGGGCACTTTTCTGTTCTTCTTTCAGGTTCTGCTCCACCCCAACAGCGGGGCAGCTGGGAAGGACGGCGAGATAGAGGCACTACGGCTGGCTCAGTACAAGGCGTTTTACACTACAGGTATTGGGTCCCTTTCACAGATCGTAAAGTCTGGGGAAAAAACCTGCTGGAATTCTTGGTTCCCTGCAGATAGAGGTAAAAACCAACCCAGGTTAATTGAAGCAAGAGCAAACCCAGTGAGGAGTAAGCATGTGCCGCCTTGTGTCTGTGCAACGGGCTTGGTTGTTGGCTTCAGAAGCGCTTGTGGCCAAGCAGTGGGACCCGGGCTCCCAAAGCTGGGACGTGGTGGGACTGGGCCATCACAGGCGGGTGAGGAATACAGAGGTGATCCCTGGGCAGCCTGGGACTCCAGTGTTTTTCTCTCATTTCCTCCCTAGGAGGGGCAATGGCTTGCGATGGGAGCACTGGCCCAGCTGAGCATCACCAGCCACCCCTCGTTTTCAATCTGGCTCGCGATATCCAGGAGCAGGAGCCTGTGGACGTGGCATCCAGCGAGTATCAGGCGGTGCTCCCTGCCATCAGCAAGGCTTACGCCCAAGCTCTGGAGGACATCGCAACGGACAACACCTCGGTTGCGGATTACTCCAAGGACCCGGCCGCGACCCCCTGCTGCAACGCGCAGCACGTGGCCTGCCGGTGCCGAGCGCCCGGGTCTCACGCGGCCGTGCCGGGCCACCGCACGGGAAGAAGAGCAACGTGGCTTTGTCTGTGAGCAAATAATTCCTCAGGCTGCTCCTTCCCCGAGTCTGGTTTCTGGGAGTGGGACTGTGGTGTTGGCTCCAGGCTGGAGGTTGGCCACGGAGGAGGGGGATGGAGGCTGCCATCCCCTTTGCTCCGTGGGGTGAAGCAGGGAGGTGAGTTGTGGGTCTGCGTGAGGGTCCCCTTTTGTCCCCCCCTGCAGAGCAGGGCACTGCAGTACCCAGTGGCTCTGGGCACATGGAAGGAAACAGGATTTTTGTAGGGCTCTAGCCAAGTCTTGGATTAAAACGACCTTCTGTGAGAACTGGCTTTGGGAAAGAATTCCTCTGGGAAATTCGCTTGGCTTTCCTCTAAGATGGACCTTACAGGAGCATCTGGTGGGAGCAGAAGGGAGGGGACGATGGGACCCATAGCCCCTGAGTGAATGTCCCTTCTGGTGCCGAGACCCTGGAAGTCCGTGGCTGCAGAGGGAAGATTCCCGGCCGGCCTGAGGGGAGCGCTGAGGGCAACGGAGCACCGGCCCCGCCGGCTGCCCGCGGAGGAGGAGGTTTATTATCGGGGTGATGTTAAAGACCCACCTGGCTGGAAGAGGGTCCTGGGCTCTCCCCGAGCGCTGCCCTCCTCGTGGACAGGACGCTGGGCTCGGCCTGCGGCTGCTTTGCACGGCCACGGCGGAGCTCAGGGCTTGCGCCAAGACGTGGACCCAGGTCCCGGGGTTTGGAAAAGGTATTTTTGGGGAAGGGGGCGGGGGGAAGAGGTTTGCAGTGCAGGACTCCACCTGGCTGGAAGAGGGTCCTGGGCTCTCCCCGAGCGCTGCCCTCCTCGTGGACAGGACGCTGGGCTCGGCCTGCGGCTGCTTTGCACGGCCACGGCGGAGCTCAGGGCTTGCGCCAAGACGTGGACCCAGGTCCCGGGGTTTGGAAAAGGTATTTTTGGGGAAGGGGGCGGGGGGAAGAGGTTTGCAGTGCAGGACTGGGGTGGCTGCTCCCCATCAACACTGCATGGAAAGACCGATGCTGTAACTGCATTTTATTTTTTGAGGGAGGTCAGGGAGGGGTCCCTGCCCTGAGGTTTCCCAGCAGATCAGGGCTCTGGGCAGAGAAGCTGCTCCTGCCGATCCCCATGTGGTGCCCAGGGGCGCAGATGGGGTGAAGCAGCTCTTCTAGGGCTGTTTCTGGGCAGATGCAAAGGCAAGTCGAAGGTGCAACTGAAACTTAAGAAACCACCGGGATTTCTCAGCAGCTGGAGTGGGTTTTCTGAAACTATTTTGGCCTCCGACTGACGCACCCGGATCTTTCTTTGGACAAGCCGTAAGGGGACTTGCGGGGACGCGGCCAGGTGGGGCGTGTGGAGCAGCCGTCCTCGCCCCAGCCCCCCCAAACGCACTCTCCCACTCATAAAACTTAATCAAGACTGACATCTTTAGGGCCCCACAAAGAACAGCAGGAGCACGGGCAGCGAGCTGCCAGGGCCAGACCGTGACTTTATTCTGTCTTTAAACGTAGCAAATGGCATCTTCTCTAGTATCACTGCAAAAATACTTTGCCTGGGTAAAATAGTATGTATATACTGTACAAAGACATCAGTTTAATATATCTTCCTATAAGTACATTTATACACATAAACCAGCATAAATTAGAAAAGGGACAAATGGGTATATAAAATTCTGGTTACATAAAAATCTGATTAAATTAGCATTTACATTGTGGTTCTAACATACAGTTTGTTAAATATAGCAATGTGCATACAGTACATTGACACCCCACCCAGACACAAATTAAAACAAGGGGCTAGGGGGGCCAGGTATTCACTTAAACATACTGTGGGAAAAAAAAAAGCAGTGGCCCACCTTGGAATTTTTTTATTTTTTTTTTTCTCTCCTCATCTTGGGGACTCACAAATCCGTTCTTCGAAATTCCTGGCTTTTCCAAAGCGCTTCCCAGCAGCTGTCCTAAGCGCGGATGTTTGCTTCTCATCATGACCTCTTCGCTTTGCCCGGCTGACCTCCACGGCACAAGATTATCTACCAAAATCAAAACAGAACGGCCTTACTTTTCCCAGCAACAGGGTGTGTTTCAAGTTGGTTTTACGCACATGGGAGAAGAAGGGGGCGGGATGTCCTGCAGTGTTTTACTTTCCATTCAACAGCAGATTTGTGAGCGGTTTATTTATTTACTCTCCCCCTCCCCAAATTTACAGCCCTGGGAACAGGAACCAGCTGGCTCAGTGGTAAGCGCGTCTTGCCTCTAGCTGAGGGCCGAGCACAGCCGTGCTCGGCCGGGGGTCACGCGCTGGGGGTGAAGGCTCTTCGCCTCGCTAAGTCCCCCCCAAAAAGTTCAGCTCCTGGCATGGTGGGAGGGGAAAGGCAGTGCCCTGCATCACGGCGTCTCTCCGGGGGTCTCCAGAGGGAGCCCAGAGTGGAACACCGACACGTTAGGCGAGATTCGGCGAGGGGAAGCCGAGCCTAAGCATCAGCAAACCCTTTAGGCGCGTGGAAGACCTGGCGGCAGTGAGGGCCCTGAACT